TCCCTCCAGGGCCCTGCCACGATCCACGCTCTTGGACTTCACACCTGGCGTAGAGAGCCTTCGACTCGCGCCAGAGGTTCAACTGCTGCATCATGATGAGCGCGTGGCGAGAGTCCGCCTCGAGCTCCACGTCACCTCTCGAGGTCCAACGGAAGATGCGGTTCAGACGGACCACCCCCTGAACATCACCAGCACTCTTGTTGGGTCCCAACATGCCCTCGAGCTTGACCCGCATGTACTTCTGCAGCTCGCGGCAGGACTCCAGGTTGTCGGTGCGGGAGCCCTTTCAGCGCGAAGTTGTCGCCGTAGACGTAGGCCACGAGCTTGCCGTCGCCTCTGCGGTATATGCAGGGGCACCAGACGCCACAGGAGAAACCCATCTTGCCCTCCAGCGCCTCACGGACCAACAGCTCTAAGTCCTGGCCTGCGTCGCGGCAGCCGTAGAGACACCTGACCGGCAACCCGCGCACGTTGGGGCCAGCTGAGCGGGGATCCTCCGACGGCAGCTTCACCCGCAACTTCCGCTTCATCTCGCAGTGCTGGTGAGCCCTCGCGATGTCCAGGAACATGGGGACGTGCTGGTCCTCGTCGGCGTTCCTGGGCGAGCAGCAGAAAGAAATCAACGTCCTGAGTGCCTCATACGGGGGTGTCGCGCTGAACGTCTGCGAGGGGCCCCCCAAATCCGTGCTCGTGCGGTAACGTGTCTCTGCCACGCACAGCCTGCAGCGGACGTTGGGCTTGCGGTCGTCACCCTTGTTGACGTCCACCCAGATCATGGGCGCCGGGTCGCGCCCGGTCTCCTCGCGGCAGTGCTGCTTGGCGTCGTGCACGTAGGCGCCCAGGCCGCGCAGGAACTCCATCTCCCTCCTTGCGGCAAGCTGCCGCGAGCTCGGGGTCCCAGGCGGCCCCGCTGATGTTGTCAACGATCTCCGTGTAGTACTCCGGGTAGGCGTCCCAGACCTGCGGCTCGTCGAGGTGCGGCCCAGCCTCCAGCGCGCACCCAGCTGGCCGCGGGCGATCGCCTCACGATGCAGCCCACGCAGCACCGCAGCCACAAGCTTCGTCGGGTACCGCTCGATGGTGCGCATGCCGCGCCGACCTAGACCGACCGTCTGGCAATGCCGAACACACCCAAGAAACCGACGCGTCAGCTCCCGGGCAATCACGGCAGAGTTGGGCAACCACCCCGTAGGCTTCTTGACCAGCGCTGGGCCGATGACATCATTGCACCACAACCCATACGCACATTGATCACGCTCGACGTAGTGTACTCCTGGCATGTCGGCGATCTCTCGGATCATCCAGAGACGCCAACTCCGCGATGATGCTGGCTGCTCGTGCAAGACAAGGCGGCCAGCCTTGATCTGCTCCTTGCAGCGCTCGGCACAGAAGACAAGGTGAACGATGCCTCGCTCCATGATGGCGTTGACGCCCACACCCTGGACCACGTTGAAGGCCTGCAGGATCGACCATGGCGCGCGCATCGGGCTGCCGGTGATCAGCAGCGGCTGCTCCAGCTCGATCGTAGCCTGCGCTCGCTGCCTGTCGCCCACCTGGCTAAAGTCGTAGCCGGTCCTGATGTTGTAGGCTGTGCCGGGCTCGAAGTCGAAGGCACTCGACCGAGACATGAAACGCCCTGGTCCGTACAGCTCGCTGACGGCCACCCTCCAGTCGCCGAAAGCCGCCAGCAGCGCACAGAGCTCCTGCGAGTCCGCGCCCGTGGCATCCCCAGCTCCAGGCGGCGCCTGCAGGAGCCCGCTCGGCCCAGCAGCCTGCGCCCGCGGTGTGGCTCACCGCCGATCGCGGGCGAGGGGTGCTGGGCCGCCTGGCGCCGCGAGGCGGCGCCTCGATGCCTGCGGCAGCTCCGCGGGCGAGCCCCGACGCGGAGCATCTCGTTGGCCAGGTCGCTCGATCTCCATCGGCGCCTCGGCCGGGCTGGCAGCGTGAGGCGGTGACCCGGAGCCCTCGCCCTCCTGGCGCACAGGCGCCCTGTCAGCAGCCTCCAACTGGCGGGCCGCTGCTCCGAAGACACGGGGCGCGAGCTCCGGATCGTGCGCCATGGCCTGCTGGATGCGCCCACGGCACTCCGAGCCGTGGGCCTTGGCTGCTGCGTTAGCGCGAACCGCGAGGCAGCCCGGGCATCCATCTGTGAAACCGTACTTGGCCAGCTCCGCGTTCCTGCGAATGTAGACGCTCCGAGGCTCAGCCGGGACCTTCTCTGGCACAACCCTCGGCTGCTTCGCAGCAGGGTCGACAGGAGGTTTGTCGATGACCGTCGGGATGCGAACGTTCTCTGGCTTGTCTGGGGTCGGCATCCACGGCGCGCCCCTGCTCGAAAGCAACAGGGCCGCGTCGGCCCGCTGGCTCGGCGGCCTCCTCCTGATCGAACGCGCGCGTACGACCCTGCAGTCGTAGCCGGCGAGCATCTCGCTCGACTTCTCGATGGCGCCCAGGAAGACTCCGATCTCCCAGCGCTCCTCGAAGTTGGCGTCGCGCTTCGCACTCGGGAGGAACGCGATGATCTCACCGAAATGCGGCAGCACCTTGCGGAAGGCCTTGCCCTTGCGCCTCTCGCGCGGCGTCCGCCCATCGGCGCCGATCTCGCCGCGATTGATGCACCCCGCAGCGTGGGCCACCAGCCAGGTCAACACTGGATGGTCATTCGGGATGTCTGTGCCGCGCAGCAAGGGACGAGGCGACTCTCAGAGACCGTGCGACGCCCTTGACCTCCCTCACTGCTACCTCTGCAAGGCCGTCGCTGGCACTCTCGTAGGCCGGCGCCTCCTCTGGCACGACCTCGAACCTCAAATTCCTGAGGCGGATCGTCGCCTCTCGCTTGAGCACCACGAAGGCACCCTCACCATCAGACTTGTAGATGATCTTCGGGTTGCCGGTCGCCCCCACCTGGCTGAAAGCGCGGACCGCGTTGTGCTCATGCTGGATGCCCTTGGACGGGGGGGCGTCGGCGCTGACCCGCGAGGTGGCCGAGCCGATGCCGACAAGGATGGGAAGCGCGGACTGGCCCGACTCCACCTCCTCCCGCTTCACAAGGTTTCCGTAGTCCACTGCGAACGTAGGTATAGCATGTGCTCTCCCTGGAGCGTCCGCTGGGTGACCATCAGCACGGCCACGCCCAGCCAGGCAGCAGTTGCACCAGTCCCTGAAGGGTGCGTGACCTGCTGCTTCGCGTTGCTCGAGCTCTGCCTGAGTAGGTCCCTTCGGCCCGCGTCGTGCTCGCACCGGAGCAGGCTGAGACTCGTGGCGCTCCTCGACGCCACCCTCGAGCTCGATTGCACTTCCAACTCCGTCGCCCCCTGCCACGGCGTCTCCACCTGGCGGGGCAGGGTCGCCTGCGACAGGGCCAAAGTGGCTCTCGATGGTCGTCGCAACTTGTCCATCATCAACTCCATGAGGTACCACTCCTGTCACAGAAGCGACGCCATGCAGCGCAGGAGGCCCCGCTGCTGGCGCCATCATCGCCGGTCTCACGGCCGCGCCCGCCGCCTGAAAGGGCACAAACGCTTCTTGCTATGTGGCCTGCCGCAGCCGCTGCAACCCTCGACCGAGCAGAGCGGCAACTCCTTCACGAGTGTCTGGGACATCTGGGCGACCTCCTTTGCTGGCGCGATGTTCGCGTCCAGGTCCCACGTACGCTGCCGCCGCGTGAAGCGGACCGTCTCGCCGCTCTCGATGTGGACGGCGTGGCTGATGTCGTTGCCGTGCTGGTCCTGCTCGAAGACCACGCGATGGCCGCTCTTCACCAGGTCGAAGACCGAGAGCAGCGGTCGCCCGACGCCCGTGACCCGGGCCCTGACGCCACGCAACGCACCGCCAGTCTGCACCATGAGCTTGCGCTGATGCTTGTCTCGGATCGGCTCGCCCGTCGCACTGAGGTACTGCGCTCCCGACGTCTTCTCCGTGATCGGGTGGTCGGTCCCCAGCGAGCGCGGGGTCGCCGTGGCCGCCGCGCCTGAGTCGACCCCGAAGCGCGCCGTCTCGCTGCTCGAGGACACGGCCGACAGGTCGAGCGCCACCAGGAAGAGGCCGCCCAGGCCCTCGGGCGGCTCCGGCTCGGCCATCTCGCCCAAGGCGCCAGCCTTCTTTGCGACCGGGCAGTCCTTGGCCAGATGCGCCGTTGAACCGCAGGTCCAGCATGGCTTCGGCTTCGGTGCCTCACCAGCCATGCCGTCACCCTTGCCTTTGCCACGACCTCGACCGCCACCACCCTTCGGCGGTGCCTCGCCTGACGCAGCCGTCGAGTTCCACCGACTTCACGCTTCCAGTGGCCGGTCTTACCGCAGATCGGACACGGCTTGGTCGGCAGATCATCAGCGCCCTTGCCTTTGCCTGGCCTGCTGGCCTTGCCCTTGCCGGTGCCGGTCTTGCCATTCTTGCCACCCTCGATGCCGAGAGCTGCCAGCTGCTTCGCAAGTGAGTCGAGGTCCATCGGTGCTACACCTGTGCCCGCGCTCGCCGTCGTCGCGATCTGGGCCCGCCAGAGGTTCTCCACCTCCGTCTTCACCAGCTCCCGCGCGTCGAGGCGCTGGCTGTTGAGCAGCAGGTGGTGCCGTAGCGGGCCTTCCTTGAGCGATCGGACCAGGATGCCTATCTTGATCTCGTCGGGGAACCCGGTGCTGACAGCTTGCTCGTAGCGCTTCACGTTCCTGTCGAACGAGATCGGCTTCGACGGGACATCACCTTCGAAATCCCACGAGAGCAGCTCTTGTAACAATCCTGCTGCCCGGGTCCGACTCTGAGGCTTATGAAACACGACAAGTGTCCTCCAAGCCTCCAGCCCCTCGTTCACTCCAGCACTGACTCTGCGGTCGAGCAAGAGGCCTCTGTTCAGCATGACTCGCGCATAGTAGAGCTGGCTGCTGAGTCGCACGCGCTCATCTGGCAGCGCGGCGTTCAGCACAGGTTCGTCCGAGTGTTCTGCGTTCTCCATGAGGTCCATCAGGGCTGGCTCGCACGCGCTGGCATAGGCACGGAAGATCGGTCTCCAGTCACGTCACGTGCCAGGTTCACTGTTGAAGTCGTGCGGCTTCCCTAGGACCCTCGTGTCGATCAGTCGATTCACTGCAGGCTGCTGGCCGCCAGGCTGTTCGGCTGGTTGCTGCAGCCCGGGCCCTCGGGCCGCCCGCGCCGTAGCCTCTGCTGCCTGCGCTCGGGCCTCGGCCGACTGGGCCTGGGCAGCCAGCTGCTGGATCATCTGCTGTTGCTGCTGCTGCTGCGCCGCCGCGACAGCCTGCCGATCTGGGCGACGCGAGCCGCGCGCCAGGCCGCGCGGCTCGCGTCCCCCAGGCCGCGCGCCTTGACTATCTTGAGAGCTTCGCCCTCGCAGTGCCACCTGCGTCTGCGGCGAGCCAGCTTCAGCACGCCCTGCACGATGTTCGCCCAAACTTTGTCGGGTTCTGTCGAGACCAGCTGCCGGCGGGTCTCGTCCGCGGCTGCTCCAGCCGCGTCGGCGCCTCCCTGGGGCGCCACGGAAGAATGCACAGCGGTATCGCAGGCAGGCCGACTCACAACCTCGCTCCGCTACCATGATATACGGTATGTCCGTTTCTCAGCTTGAGAAAGATATGGCAATGGTAAGCAATAAACGCCACGGCATGCATATCCGAGAGCTACCTGATCAATTTAGGTCCAGCCCTGGCTTAGCAAACGCACCCGGAGAAGGAATCGAACAGGGCAGGGCTGTTCAAAAACGCCCAGGGCCGTTGAGTAAACGCCATTCATCGGGTCTGGGTGGGTTTTTCCTCCCTTGCCTCTCAAACGGCCGACCCCTTGCCTCAAATCGGGCGTGTCACCCTACAGTGGGACATTGGGCGAAAATGAAAAATACAACAACAACAACAACAACAACAGCAACAACAACAACAACAACAACAACAACAACAATTACTAGCACGTGGGGACACTCCGTTCTCACCAGTGCCAGGGTTTTCATAGGAGGCGGGCAATACCCCCACTTTGTGGGGGGGCCGGTTCAAGCTCTACCAAATTTCCAAACGACTCTTCGCCACCACCCACACCCAGCTTCCCGCCCTATGACGTTCGGACACTTCACTTCGTGGCATGCGGACGACCGTGGCTACTATTCAGGGCCCCGCGGCCGACGACGACGGCGTGCGCGCGCGAAGAAAAAACGAATGTGTCCCGCATGGTATTATTTGACAGGGATGATGGCCCTGGCAGGTGCGCAACCGTTGTTGCAGAAGTTCGAAAAAGTTGCTCGCAAAAGCCCGTTTGACAGAAATGTTTAAAAAGTGTTGGGTTTCCTACGAATCCGCAAGAGCGCGCGGGATGAAATTTTGACATTTTTTTTTGAAAAACCATTGGTTTTTTGATGTTTTTATGTTAAAATCGCTACGAAAACTAAGGTTTTGGAAGGATTTCGTCTTGCGCGCGCGAATGTCCACTTTACCTTATTTTTTGCAAGGGATTCTTGAAGTTTGGTTATGTTAGAACAAGAAATGTCCACTTTAGCTTATTTTTTGCAAGGGAAAACCGATCGTAACAACACAACCGGATCCGGACCAACCCGTTTTGCCTGAGACTTCCTCACGAAAATGATGAAAACTGCGGCCTAGGCGCGGCGGGGGGGCCATGCACCAGGGGATGAAAATCAACTTCAACAACAATGTTCAACAACAACACCAACACCAACACCAACAACAACAACAACAGCAACAACGATTACAACAACAACAACAACAACAACGACAACAACAACAACAACAACAACAACAATCATTTTACCCGAACGCTCAGTGTTCTCCCCAGTGCCAGGGTTTTCTTGCGACACCAGCCAATACCCCCACTTCGTGGGGGGGCCGTTCAAGCTCTACCAAATATCCAAACGACTCTTCGAGACCACCCACACCCAGCTTCCCGCCCTATGACGTTGGGACACTTCACTTCGTGGCGTGCGGACGACCCTGGCTACTACACTGGCGTGGGGTACACACCCACAGAGGTTGATCACATCTGTTACATATGATGTGGTACACGGTACACGTGAGATGGTACGCAGTGCCAAGATAGTTGGTCACATTTTTGGGGCAAATTCGTGGGGATGCGATTACAGAAGTACATGTGTTACACTGATGTTATACAGTCCCAAGGATGACGCATGCATTGCTCATAGACTCATGGCGCTATGATCCTAACTCTCAGTGCCCAACGCGCGCGTGCACAGCCAGACGGAGGGAGAGAAACACATGTATACAAGGTTCGTGACATACGCACGGTCCACCATGTTGTAAACGATCGCATGCACGGTAAGTTCTGAAATTATACGTATGTACAAGCAGACATGCGAGGGAGAAAGGGAGATGGCCATCGACAGTTCCAATACGGCTCCACGCAAAGACCCTTTTGACAGAAATGTTTAAAAAGTGGTGTGTTTCCTATGAATCCGCAAGAGCGCGCGGAAGGACATTTTGACAATTTTTTCTTAAAAAACCATTGGGTTTTTGATGTTTTTATGTTAAAATCGCTACGAAACCTAAGGTTTTGGAAGGATTTCGTCTTGCGAGCGCGAATGTCCACTTTACCTTGTTTTTTGCAAGGGATTCTTGAAATTTGATCAACTAAGAACAAGAATTTTCATTTTCTATTGTTTTTTGCAAGGGAAAACGAGCGTCAACAAAAAACCGGATCCGGGGGTAATCCACTTTTCTGAAGCTTTCGCAGAAAAATGATGAAAATGTAGCTGCGGCCTAGGTTTTGGGCGGGGGGCGTGCACCAGGGGGTCCAACAATAATAATTCTTTAGAAGTAATAGTGTTCAACACCAACAACAACAACAACAACAACAACAACAACAACAACAACAACAACAACAACAACAACACCAACAACACCACCAACAACAACAACAACAAAAACAAATCCAAACCTTCAAAAATAGTCAAACAATCGTCCCCAGACTGTTTCTTGACTATTTTTTGCATATTCCCCCTGTAGAGGGACACGCCCGACTTAACCCTTGCCCCCCCCGCGCGCGTGCGCGCCGCCAACTGCAGTCAAGCTGCAGGGAACGCCACGCCAACAGCGCGGCCGCCTTTTTTGGCCTCAGGGGCGCCCGGGTGTACCGCGTGCGAAAGAGGAACCACCACAGAAAGGCTGCAGGAACATATATGATCGCGGGCTCCGGGCCCACGGGCCCCCCCTCCCCCCCCAGATGGGATGGGTCCCAGGGTCCTCAGGCCCCCTCCCCAGATGGGATGGGGAGGAGGAGGAGGAGGAGGAGGAGGAGGAGGAGGAGGAGGAGGAGGAGGAGGAGGAGGAAGAGGAGGAGGAGGAGGAGGAGGAGGCGGAGGCGGAGGCGGAGGCGGAGGAGGAGGAGGAGGAGGAGGCGAAGGAGGAGGAGGAGGAGGACGACGACGACGACGACGGCGACGACGTCGAGCACGGGAGCTTTCCGAAAGCACGTCAGCATGACGCCACAATCACAGCCACACTCACACCCACACCACACCCACAGGGGGGGAGGGGGGGGGAGGACATTGGGTCACCCCACACACACACACCCACAGCAACACACCACACACACCACCCCCACAGGGGGAGGAGGGGGGGGGACCATCGCGCGGGGGGGGGGGGGCGGGGGCCTGATGGCATTAGCATTGGGGGGAGGGGCCCAAACCCTCGACCATATGTAGCGAGCCCCTGCCGTACCCGAACTTGTTCTGCTTCTACCTGCGCCTGGAACTTCGTGGGCCCTGACAACGACAGGGCCGTTTTCGTGCTGTGCCGCTTCTGTTCCGATGTTTTTGTTGCCGGTTCCGGCGCTTTTTTGTGCCGGTTCCGGCCCCGGCTCCAATCCCGGACCCAGTTTTTGCCGCTTCCAGTCGCCGTTTTGCCTCGCCGCTTCTACTCTCAAGAAAGACTTGTCGAAAACTTTCAAAAACCGGCGCCGCCGTTTCCGGGACCCACCAATGCCTGGACTGCATTCAGCTTGATCGCCGCAAGTCGATTGTAGGTGCGGGCCTATAGCCGAGGGCGCTCCAAGAGGAGGAGGAGGAGGAGGAGGAGGAGGAGGAGGAGGAGGAGGAGGAGGAGGAGGAGGGGAGGGGGGGGGGGAGGGGGAGGAGGAGGAGGAGGAGGAGGAGGAGGAGTCGTCAGGCCCTCAGACATATGCACGGTGCTACAAAAGGGGAGGACCGGTGGCGCCGTCCTGCGACCCAGCATTGGGGGGGGCGCAGAGGGCAGGGGGGCGGGGGAGGAGCCGCGGGGGGAGGCCAGCCTGGGCAGCTCTCCTCCGCCTTGTCCTCCTCCTCCTCCTCCTCCTGCTCCTCCTCCTCCTCCTCCTGCTCCTCCTCCTCCTGCTCCTCCGCCACCTCCTCCACCTCCTCATCCCTTCTTATTCCTCCTCCTCCTCCCCCTCCTCCTCTTCTTCCTCCTGCTCCGGAAGAGGGCATCATCAGTCTGTGAATAAGTCGCTTCAGAGCGCTCTGGAGCGCCCTCGTGGCGTTCCAGCGGCGCTCCCGGGGCCGGCCGCGGTGCCCACCCCGCCCCGGGCCGTGCGTCTCCGATGCGTGGGGAGGCGACTGCGCTCGTGGAGTCTGTCGGGGAGGCGTCGCCGACCGCACCGTCGAGCGACCCAGACCCCCGACGTCATGAATTTTTCATGACGCGATCCCCAGAGGTCTGGACCTATTCGCCAGGACCGGTTTTTCATCCTGAGTTGTTTTTTGACGGTCCCGAGGGCCGGTAAGGGCCCCCAGAGGCCGAAAATATGGAAAAACCTCCCGTCGTGATTTTTTCATGACTCGAAGGGGTCTGGGGAGTCAGTGTGGGCTCCCGTGTGAGCGCGCAACTCTGTCGGGGATCTGCTAACCCTGGTCAATCAGCCCCGGTTCAGCAGGAAGCCAAAGAGCTGCGATGCAGGAAACCAAAAAAAACTGCAACGCAGGGCCTCGCAGGCCCGGGTCAGCCAGAGGGGGTCTCTTCGCAGGATCCTGCGAGATCCGGTGCCCTGGCCGACACCTGGT